TTCTTTGGTACCTTCATAACTTATTAACTACTATTAATCATGGCTTTGTTTAACACCTTTCCCAGATAACTATTAGATGCACCTTTCTATCCCATTTTGTAGCTTATCTTGAAGTTCAATTACTCCTGGACCTTCAGTCTGCTGGATATAAAAAGCCCTTGCAAAACCTTCCAGCAGCCAACCACAGGGGCTTCGACCTGTGAAAACACTTATATTGCAGTCTTCTCTTTAGCTTCCCCGCAAACCCTCATGTTAAAAAACACAGTAACAACAAAAGGAAACAGGGGGAGAGACGGGTGAGGGAGGTAGATAAATGAGCAGCCTAAATAACATCCCTAACACAGTCTAATCAATCAGGGGGAGGTAGTTTTCAATGTTAATCTAAGGTAGAATTTTACATTAAAAAAAAGAAAAGAGAAAATCAAGACAAAAAAGACACTTGTGTTAAAACAAGAGTTTGAACTCACAGAATTCCTTTTTGGAGAACTACCCATTTTAATCAAAGTTTTTTTTTGAGACGGAGTTTCGCTCTTGTTGCCCAGGTTGGAGTGCAAAGGCGCCGATCTTGACTCACCGCAACCTCTGCCTCCCGGGTTCAAGCAATCATCCTGCCTCAGCCTCCCGAGTGGCTGGGATTACAGGTGCCCGCCACCATGCCTGGGTAATTTTTATATTTTTAGTAGAGATGGGGTTTCGCCATGTTGACCAGGCTGGTCTTCAACTCCTGACCTCAAGTCATCTCCCTGCCTCAGCCTCCCAAAGTGCTGGGATTACAGGTGTGAGCCACTGTGCCTGGCCTAAAGAGGTTTTTGAATAACACTTTTTTTTTTTTGAAGACAGACTCTCACTCTTGTCACTCAGGTGGAGTACAATGGTGTCACCTCGGCTCACTACAACCTCCGTGTCCTGGGTTGAAGCGATTCTCCTGCCTCAGCCTCCTGAACAGCTGAGATTACAGATGTCCACCACCACGCCTGGCTATTTTTTCTTGTATTTTTAGTAGAGACAGGGTTTCACCATGTTGGCCAGGCTGGTCTGAAACTCCTAACCTCAGGTGATCTGCCTACCTCAGCTTCCCAAAGTGCTGGGATTACAGGTGTGAGCCACTACGCCCAGTTGAATAACACTTAATTGGTTTCCACTTTCCTCTCAACTTCTCTACTTTTGAAATTTAGTCTTCTTAACTTCAAAATATCCAGATGGAAAGAAAGACCAAGTTCTGTGCTGCTCAGCTGCACTGATCACAGCAAAGTCTTCTGTTTGGACAAAAAGGACAGACACACCCGAGAACTGACCCGGGATTTGGCGTTCTCAACACTGCCACTATCTCACATTAGGAAACAGACTTTTATGTTCCTTGTGATTTGCAGAATGTTCCTTTTCCTTATGTTCTAGGGTTGGAGATATGAGATCATTGGCAAGTTTTGTTTTTGTTTTTGTTTTTGGGACAGAGTCTCCCTCTGTCGCCCAGGCTGGAGTACAGTGGCGCGATCTTGGCTCACTGCCATCTCTGCTTCCCAGGATCAAGTGATTCTCCTGCCTCTGCCTCCTGAGTAGCTGGGATTACAGATGCCTGCCAACATGCCTGGCTAATTTTTGTATTTTTAGTAGAGATGGGGTTTTGCCATGTTGGCCAGGCTGGTCATGAACTCCTGACATCAGGTGATCCACCCACCTCGGCCTCCCAAAGTGCTGGGATTACAGGCGTGAGCCACCATGCCCAGCCCATCGGCAAGTTTTAAGAAAATCCTTACAAACTTAATGCTAGGTAATCATCTTAGCACATTCCCCTGAGGAGCTTCCAAATCCATCTCCTGAAAGTACTGTCCAATATGTAAAGCCTAATGATGTTTTGCCCATTGAACATGACTCTTCAAAATCTCCTTCACTTTTCTACTCCAAGCAGCAAACCAAATCTTCATACTGATTTTCTCAACTTCTGATATGAACGGTTATGGACTGAATGTTTGTGTCCCCTCAATATTCATATGTTGAAACCCTAACCCCAATGTGGTGGTATTAGCAGGTGGGGCCTTTGGGAGGTGATTAGGATATAAGGGTGAATTCCTCATGAATGGGATTAGTGCCCTTATGAGAAGAGAGCTTGCCAGCACTTTGGGAGGCCAAGGTGGGAGTATCACTTGAGGCCAAGAGTTTAAGACCAGCCTGGTCAACATGGTGAGACCCTGTCTCAATTAAAAAAAAAAAAAAAAAAAGGAGAGAGTTTACTTCCTTTCTTTGCTCTCCACCATGAGAGAATACAATGAGAGGTAATCTGAAAACTAGGTAGTGAGCCTTCATCAGATGCTGAATCTGTGGGCACCTTGGACTTCCCAGCCTCCAGAATGGTGAGAAATAAATATCTGTTCAAGGCACACAGTTCATGGTCATTTGTTACAGTGGCCAAAATGGACTAACGTAAATGAAAAGAAAAACAAACATAAAAATTCTGGCTGAGTGCCATGGCTCATGCCTGTAATCACATCACTTTGGGAGGCTGAGGTGGGAGGATTGCTGGAGGCCAAGAGTTTGGAGTTAGAGCCCTGTCTCTACAAAATAAATAAATAAATAGACAAAATAAAAATCCCACCACACTTAAAATAGAATCCAAATTCCTTACTATGGCCTAAGATCCCAGGTGTCCACCTCTGATGTTACATTCTCATGGAGCTTCTGCCTTTGCACACTGTGGGCTGGCACTCAGAGCTTTAAACTACCAAACTCTTTCCAGCCTCTGTTGTTTCTATCTTGAACATTCTCCCCCTCCACTTTCAAGTCTCAGCAAAATTGTCCTTCCTCAGCCTATCTGATAACCATTTCAAGAGCAGTCTCCTTGCCTTCTCTGCCCAATCACTGATCCCAATGACCTCTTTATTCCCTTCACAGCCCTTATTACTACCTGAAATTACCTAGGTTATGTGTATGGTTGTCGTCTTTCTCCCCCATTAGCCTGTAAGCTCCCGAAAGGCAGCAGCTTGCTGTCTTCACCACAGTATCTCAACAGTGCCAAGAACACAGCAGGCCTCCATTAAATATTTGTTGAATCACGTACTCATATTATGACTTTCCATTTCTTTCCTCACAGATCACATGTCCAACACGACAACCAACCAGACTTAACATATTAGAGTTCTTCTTTTCCCACTTTTTTCCCTACCTCCCCTTCTGGGGAAGGTCTGCATTAGCAATGAGAAAGATTCAGGGCTGGAAGCTATGAGAAGCAGAATCGTGGGCTATGGTTTTCTAAGGTTTAACCTCCTTGTCACATTAGACTTAAGTGTCCACAGTCATATGCACCCATGAGCATTGCCCAGTCAGCTCGTAAAGGCACTTCCCTGGGTTCCTTTAGCTCCGATGTCCTATCACTCACTCTAAAGCCCACTGACTTTAGGGCTTGGATTCTGGAGGCGGAAAGACCCAACTTTGAAGCTTGGCTGTGCCATTTACTAGCCATGTGACCTTATACTCCTCAAACCGCAACTCTTCATCTAGAAAATGGGAATGACAGCAACACCTACCTCATAGGGTGACTGTGAGATTAAATGGATAATTCAGACAAAGGACTCAGTAAAGTGCCTTGCACAGTTTACTGCAAAAAATAGTTATTGTCTCACCCGATCCCCCAGGTTCTATTCCTCCCTCTGGAAACATTCCATGGTTACTTTTCAAGGTTACTTTTATGGGCTGATATCAATTTTAACTCAGGGCTGTCCACAAAGTCCTGAAACACAGAAAACCAGCCAGCACACACCCCTCTCCAAATAATCAAGGCGTGTGTTCTGGAAAGAAGGACCTTCTTACACCCTAGTGATTTCAGTGCACCTCTCATGACCCAGCCTGCAACTGGTACGACAGCTACCAAGTGAACTCACTGAGTGGTTTTGTTGGCCTGGGATAAATGGGGCTCTAGCTAGATCTCAGGCCAAAGTTTGTAATGGTTTGCAGAATACTAGGAAACAAAACAGGCCGGGCGCGGTGGCTCACACCTGTAGTCCCAGCACTTTGGGAGGCCGAGGCAGGCGGATCATGAAGTCAAGAGATAGAGACCAACCTGATCAACATGGTGAAACCCTGTCTCTACTAAAAATACAAAAATTAGCTGGGCATGGTGGCGGGCACCTGTAGTCCCAGCTACTTGGGAGGCTGAGGCAGGAGAATTGCTTAAACCACGGAGCGGGAGGTTGCAGTGAGCCGAGATCATGTCACTGCACTCCAGCCTGGGCAACAGAGCAAGATTCTGTCAAAAAAAAAAACAAAACCAAAAACAAAAACCAAACCAAAACAACAAGAAAAAACACCTATGGAAACGAGAAAAGGGGAAAATGTTAAAGCCTCCTGTGCGATGCCAATCCCACTGAGGGGTATGAAGAAACAGCTCCCCTCCTCTTTAATTATGAGGCCATGAGCCTTGCTACCTCTCTCCTGGGCAATTGCACATGGTTCTCTTCAAATAGCTTAGTAATTTTCAAGCAGTCCTACTAGTGACTACAAAAGATTTTCAGTTAACACACAGGTCAAGTTGTGTTTTAGACTTTAAGGTATAAAAATATATTATCATATGTAAAAGTATAGCATGGTTCCTTCTTTTTAACCAACAGACAGGCAGATGTATAGCATGGTTTCTTCTATACATCACTTGGTTTATTCATCACCTGCAAACTTATCTTAGAAAAATCTTATCTTAGAAAAACCAACGAATAAAGTCAAACTGATGCCAATGGTAGGGGATCCAAAGGAAATGATTCTGGCAGCAACTTGTGTCAGACAAGCTAACCTATTGCTTTGTGCCTCATTTCCCCACATGATAAAAGGGGGCCAGGAGATGTCAAAAGTGTGACAAATAATGAACAGTCCTAAAGCTGACTGAAAACAGCCTTTATACAGCCAGTAGCAGTTACCACCCAGCAGTGTACTGGAACACAGGGGAAGTCTTCTTGTCCCGGTCACCCAGCCAATGCTGCCCACTGGGAGGGAGAGGATAACCTTCCTGGGAGAGTTACCTTCACAAACTGCACATCGCTGAGGATGTGGACTGAGTAGTCGGGCGTGTAGAGGTTGTTGTTGCTGCTGTACAACTGGGTGTTGCTGCCCCCAAAGTCACTGCGCTCTCGGTTTGGAGACTCAGAGCGATTCAACCCACTGCAGCGAGAAGGGGACCGGTTTACTGCAGATGGTGAGAGATGGAGAAAAGACAAGGAGGGATGGGTGGGGAGGAAGAAGTGGAAGGGAGGGAGGGAGACAGGGAAGGAGGGGGAGACAGATGTTGTTTACTGAGGTCCCATACAACTTTCAGGCAATGGTAACACTGGGTGGTGGTGACGGGGCTCACCCTTCCCATCAGAGCCTGGGAAGCTGCTGAGCTGCTTTGTTGATGTTTATTCCTTTGAGGAACAAATGCCTAAGACAAACTCATGGCTCCCTTCCACTCGGGCTGCTCCCCACAACCTCTCCCAGTGAGGAGCTGGAGCATCTGTTTCCCCCAGACGGGGGATGGGTGGTTCACATCTTCCTTGGTTCTTGTCTTCAGATTAGGTGCACAAGGACCCTGCACGAGATGATGTCGGTACTATAAGCGTGGCTTGCTACCCTAGACCATGAGCCCCTCTACCATGGTGAGGTATTTTACATCAACTCCAATCACAAAACTTATTATAGAAAGGCCAAGGCCTTGGGTTTGCCCTCAAAACCATCTGTCACAGCACAGACAACCAATCTTCATGTGGCCTTACATTATAGTGGGAAGAACTCAGGCCTGCTCCCACATTGGCAGGGCCTGGGACAAACGGAAGCCACAAACCACAAGGATAAATATTTTTAAGTTAGAAGTTACATTAATAAATGGTAAAAACAGGCTTATCCTCTTCCTTGACAAATGTTCATAGCAACCATGCCAGAAAACAGAGCCGTGGGTGGATAGCCAGCCCTGCCCCTAGGGCTTCTGGACCCCTGGTCCCCTAGGACTGTTTGGGTGGGGATTCCAGGATTCTGGATATCTGAAATGTGGTTTAGAAGGGAGGACACAGGCTTTGGCTCAGCACCTCCCTTTGGCCCTGAGAACTCCTTGCCCCATATAGATGGGCTGGACTGAGAAGGGCCAAGGTGTGGGTCTAGGGCTGGGCTCCCTCTTGCATAGGCCTGAGGGGGGCACTGGGATAATTTGCAGGCCTTCTGTCAAAGATCTCCTGAATGCTTTAGCCAGGTTCTTTTCACATTTTTAAGAAACACTTCTTGGAAAAGTTCGATTGAGACCACGTCACTTGGTTTTATGTGAGCTGCCCTCTCCAGGAACAACAGAAAAGAGGATACCAAAGGTAACTCCAACCATGGAACCGCCCCAAGTGGTAGACTGCAAAGCTCCCCCAATCCTTCTGCTTCTTCCAAAAAAGGGGATGAGGAGGCTGTCAGCTTCTCTTAACACAGATTTAGCTCAGGGGGCTCAAATGAAGAATCAGATTATTTATAGATTCTGCTCTTTCAGGGTAGAACCTTGGGAATTTAATCCTGTCTCTTGAGATAAAGCAAAATATTTGATTAGCATCTATTTGGAATGAGTCATGGAAAGTTGATGATCTATTTAGCTGCCAAGCTGTTGCCTGGCAAACCATGCAGCAGAAAGAGTAAAACGATAGGTTGAATCATTTTCTCATTAGAACCATAATCATCACTGCCTTGATCTGATTAGAGAATTAAGGAGTCCACTTCCAGTCTTCCCCTTCTCAGTAAGTGTCATCCACTTACATGTAGTTGCTGAAACCAGAAACCCCGGGATTGTCCTTGACTCCTGCCGCTCCCTCAGCCCCCCATGGAGCCTCGCTATCCATCTGACATAATGAGCCCATCAGTCCTATCTCTGTCTCCACTCAAATCCCAGCTACCTCAGCCTCACCTGGACCACAGTCTCCCCACTTACTATCTTATAATCTGTTTTCACCTCAGCTGCCAGAATCGCATTTTTAAAACACAAATCAGCTTCCTATTGTGTCTGAATAAAATCCAAATTCCTTGCCGTGACCTGTTCCCTGCTTTCCTATCTGATCTTATCTTGGGGCCTCCTTTCCCCTCTCTTGCTTTGCTTTAGCCACTGGCCTCCTTGGGTGTTCTTAACCATGCAGGCTTTGCCCACCTCAATGAACGCCCATTTCCCCTCCCCACCCCACATCCTCCCCCCTCAGCTAATGGCTGTCTGCTCCTCAGTCATTAGCTCTCAGCTGAGGCACCACCTTCTCTGAAGACCTTGTCTGGTCATCACAGGAAGATTCCTCCTGTTCTACTCTATCATGATCCCCTGTCCATCCTTTCAAAGCATTAATTACTTTCACAAGCATTAATTACATATTAGTAACTACTTGTTACATCTACTTAATTCAACTTTTAATTCCACGAGGGCAGAGACGTTGTCTTCTCTGGTTATCCTCATTGTACGCCCAGCGCCTAGCACCGTGCCTGGCCTAGAGAAGGTACTCAAGGAAAATGTGTAGAATAAATGAATCAGCACGTCAGGGTCCCACAGGGCAATACAATGACTCTTATAGTTTATGATCTAAATAATTTGTTGTATAAAAAGGTTTCAGAGATCTTAAATCATCACAAAGCTAAAGTCATTAAAGCTCTTAAATCATCAAACTAAAGCTCTTAAAGTCACCAAAGCTCTTAAATCATCACAAACCTAAAGTCATTCTGGGGAAGCTGACTTCCCCAAGAAGCGAGGGTGGGCAGCAGGACCCTCCAGAAATGTGGCTGGATAGAGTAAAATAGTGTGCAACTAGAATCAAAGGGCACCAAGAAGTCTCAGGCCTTGGCCCAGTAACTTGAGGAAGAGGCCACATGGAGCAGAAAGACTGTTTAATAAGGGTATGTGAAACAGGGGGCCCTGAAGTCAGATGCCTAGGGCCCTACCCATCCACTGTGTGATGAGGGACCAGATCCTTCTCCAGAGCGACTAAGAACTGACAGGGACAGGGACAGCGATGGTGCTGTAGAGGACAACATGCAGCACCAAGGTGATTGTAAAAAGCAGTAGTGTTGGATAGAAAAAGGTACATTTCACTTCCGGGCCTGATCCCTTGAAAACAAACTGACGAATTCTTAAAAATAGAACTACCATTCAAGCCAGCAATCCCACGGCTGGGTATCTACCCAAAGGAAAAGAAATTATGTAAAAAAGATACCTGTACATGTATGTTTATTGCAACACTATTCACAATAGCAAAGATACAGAATCAACCCAAGTGTCCATCAATGGATGACTGGATAAAGAAAATGTGATTTTGTACATACGTGTGTGTGTGTGTTTCTGTGTGTGTGTACACACAATGAAATATTATTCAGCCATAAAAAGAACGAAATCATGTCTTTTGCAGCAACATGGATGGAAATAGAGGCCATTATCTTAAGTGAAATAACTCAGAAAGTCAAAGGCTGCATTATTTCTCTTGTAAGTGGGAGCTAAATAATATGTACAAGTGGACACAGAGAAATAATAGACATTGAAGACCCAGAAGGGCAGGAGAGGGTGAGGGATAGAAATTACTTAATGAGGCCGGGCGCGGTGGCTCAAGCCTGTAATCCCAGCACTTTGGGAGGCCGAGACGGGCGGATCACGAGTTCAGGAGATCGAGACCATCCTGGCTAACACGGTGAAACCCCGTCTCTACTAAAATACAAAAAAAAATTAGCCGGGCGAGGTGGCGGGCGCCTGTACTCCCAGCTACTCGGGAGGCTGAAAAAAAAAAATGGCGTGAACCTGGGAGGCGGAGCTTGCAGTGAGCTGAGATCCGGTCACTGCACTCCAGCCTGGGCAACAGAGCCAGACTCCGTCTCAAAAAAAAAAAAAAAAAAAAAAAGAAATTACTTAATGAGTACAATGTATACTATTGGGGTGATGGCCACACTAAAAGCTCAGACTTCACCACTATGCAATATATCTGTGTAACAAAAATGCACTTGTATCCCCTAAATCTATTAAAAAAGAACAAATTGATGAGTTCTGACTTGGCCAGACCCATCTGTGGCTGTTTTAGGGTGGCGGCTGGATAAGTCTGCGTTCTTTCCTCCAGGCTAGTTGCTGCAGAAAAGCGGGACAGGGAGTCCTGCCCAAGAGTAGCTTCTTTGGTCCCAGTGCAGCATCTGGAAAACCATACCTTGACCTGGTGGGTTTTGACCTCAACTCAGTTTGGACATAACCAAGGGAAGAAAGTGTGAGCAGGGCTTATGGCTTCAGCTGCCCAGAGAATCACCACCATTTCTCAATAATCCTCCACTTTGCCTGGCCAGACATGGGCTTCACACACCCTACACCAGTTGTTCCATATCCTCATTTCTTACATCACAGTTCAAGATATGTTCAGGGAGGACAGCAGGGAAAGAGCCCTATTTTATCTACTAAACTCCTTCCATCTGTGGAAGCTTCTCCTGTTGGAGACAGAGGCAACAACTACATCCCAGTTCCCCCCAAAGCTCTCATCGTTTCACTGGCACCCAGTGTGGGTGACACCCACAGGGACTCACATGTCAAACACAAGCTACATCACTGTTATGCTGGGAGGAGGAAAAACACACCTTTTTTTTTTTTTTAAGTAAAAACAATGCTATTGAAAGTTTCTTTATAAAATCATAAAGGATTCCCAACACCAAACGATACAACTGTCTTACAAAGATTGAGTCTATAAAAGCAATTTTTAAAAGAAAAAAGAACCTTTACTCCATGAGAAAGTCCCAGCTCCTCTGGGTATTGTGCGAGATCAATGTTTTCGTGTCCTGGAGTCTGACATTCCTCAATAGGTGGGATGCTGATGACTTGGCATTTTGGTAATTGTGCACATACACTCAGAAGTTTCTGAGCAAGGGACATGGAAATGCTTTTAATAAAAAGCAGAAGAAATCAGTAACAGACGAGTGTCCTAGCAGCATGGCAAACTAGTTCAAGTTGTGTAATTCCCCTTGGCATATCCTAAAAGCACAGAGGCACAGTTTGGGGGAGTGAAGCAAGGAGGAAAATCCTAAGTATAGTGCAAGGAGGTCTGGAAGGAGACAGATCAAACAGTGATACGTAACACTGACCACGGGACCTGTCAACAGGCGGCAGGCTAAGCCACCAACCCATCCCTTGCCCACTCTTGCTCTTGCATCAGACCCTCAGGTTGGCTCAGGTGTAACTGGGTGATG